TCTGGGATGGACTGGGATAAACTGGGATGGACTGGGATGGGATTGGGATGGACTGGGATGGACTGGGATGGACTGGGAGGGACTGGGATGAACTGGAATGGACTGGGATGGACTGGGAATGGACTGGGATGGACTGGAATGGACTGGGATGGATTGGGAATGGGTTTGGGATCAATGGGATGGACTGGGATGGGATCCCATTCCCCTGGGATGAACTGGGAATGGACTGGGATGGACTGGGAATGGACTGGGATGGACTGGGATAAATTGGGAATGGGTTTGAGATTGATTGGAGAAGGTTTGGGATCGATCAGAGAAAGTTTGGGATCAATGGGAGAAGATTTGGGGTCAATTGCTGAAGGTTTGGGATCGATTGGATAAAGTTTGGGATCAATAAAAAGTTTGGGATTGATTGGAAAAGGTTTAGGGATCAATGGGATGGGGTTTGGGATGGATTTGGGATCGATCAGAGAAGGTTTGGGATCAATAGGAAAAGGTTTGGGATCAATGGGAAAAGGTTTGGGATCAATGGGAGAAAGTTTAGGATCAATAGGATGGGATTTGGGATCAATGGGAAAAGGTTTGGGATTGATCGGAGAAGATTTGGGATCAATGGGAGAAGGTTTGGGATCGATCAGAGAAGGTTTGGGATCAATGGGATGGGATTTGGGATCAATAAAAGGTTTGGGATTGATTGGAAAAGGTTTGGGATCAATGGGATGGGACTTGGGGTGGATTTGGGGTGGATTTGGGACGGAGCGGCTCGACCCAACCTGGCAGGAGATGCTGAACCACGCCACCAGAAAGGTCTGGGATGGACTGGGATAAACTGGGATGGACTGGGAGGGACTGGGATGGACTGGAATAAACTGGGATGGATTGGGAATGGACTGGGAATGGGTTTGGGATCAGTGGGATGGACTGGGATGGACTGGGAATGGACTGGGATGGACTGGGAATGGGTTTGGGATCGATGGGAAAAAATTTGGGATCAATCGGAGAAAGTTTGGGGTTAATCAGAGAAGGTTTGGGATCGATGGGATGGGATTTGGGATCGATCGGAGGAGGTTTGGGATCAATGGGAAAAACATTGGGATTGATTGGAGAAAGTTTGGGGTGGATCAGAGAAGGTTTGGGATTGATCGGAGAAGGTTTGGGATCGATGGGAAAAGTTTTGGGATGGGTTTAGGATCGATCAGAGAAGGTTTGGGATGGATTGGAGAAGGTTTGCAATTGATTGGAAAAGGTTTGGGATCGATCAGAGAAGATTTGGGATCAATAAAAGGTTTGGGATCGATTGGAAAAGGTTTGGGATCAATAGGGGAAGGTTTGAGATCAATGGGAGAAAGTTTGGGATCAATTGGAAAAGGTTTGGGATTGATTGGAGAAGGTTTGGATTGATCAGAGAAGGTTTGGGATCAATGGCATAGAATTTGGAATGGATTTGGGATCAATGGGAAAAGGTTTGGGATTGATTGGAAAAGGTTTGGGATCAATGGGATGGGATTTGGGGTGGATTTGGGAAGGAATGACTCGACCCGACCTGGCAGGAGATGCTGAACCACGCCACCAGAAAGGTCTGGGATGGACTGGGATAAACTGGGAGGGACTGGGATGRACTGGGATGGACTGGGAATGGATTGGGATAAACTGGGAATGGACTGGGATGGACTGGGATAAACTGGGAATGGACTGAGATAAACTGGGATGGACTGGGAATGGACTGGGATAAACTGGGATGGACTGGGAATGGGTTTGGGATCAATGGGAGGAGGTTTGGGATTGATTGGAGAAGGTTTGGGATCAATAGGGGAAGGTTTGGGATTAATGGGAAAAGTTTTGGGATGGGTTTGGGATAAATAAAAGGTTTGGGATTGATTGGAAAAGGTTTGGGACCGATCGGAGAAGGTTTGGGATCAATAGGAGAAGGTTTGGGGTCAATCGGAGAAGGTTTGGGATTGATTGGAAAAAGTTTGGGATCAGTCGGAGAAAGTTTAGGATCAATGGGCTGGATTTGGGATTGATTGGAAAAGATTTGGGATCGATGGGAAAAGATTTGGGATCAATGGGAAAAGGTTTGGGATCGATCAGAGAAGGTTTGGGATCAATGGGATGGGATTTGGGATGGATTTGGGATTAATCAGAGAAGGTTTGGGTTGGATCGGAGAAGGTTTGGGATCAATGGAAGAAAATTTGGGATCGATCAGAGAAGGTTTGGGATCAATGGGATGGATTTGGGGTGGATTTGGGGTGGATTTGGGAAGGAGCGGCTCGACCCGACCTGGCAGGAGATGCTGAACCACGCCACCAGAAAGGTCTGGGATGGACTGGGATAAACTGGGAGGGACTGGGAATGGACTGGGATGGACTGGGATGGGATTGGGATGGACTGGGATGGACTGGGAATGGACTGGGAGGGACTGG